CGTGGAGGCATCTTGCTGTACATAGATACAACAAATGGTTAGTGTTCCATCATAATCCGAAATTTTGCTCTGATACCATAAATGTAACACCCCAAATGTAAATACATATAGGGTGCACCTTCATCATGCATTCAACGCGCGGAAGTCTAAATTTAAACTTTACGAATGCAAATATCAGAGTGCGGAATGGAAACACATAACCATACTTATTCCATATAAAATTAAAAGCGTTAAAACGTCAATACAAAATAAATAACACTAAACATTATTTAATGTAATCCCAAAAAGATTAACTAATCATAAATAAAAACATAATTTATGCCGCATCATAAGCCCAGTCATAATGTGGTTGTGGTTCCTCTAGCCATTGTGTACTTAGTGCTTCATCGAAATTATAATGTGGAAAAGCTTCTATTAATAATTTCATAGCCTCAGTCCATAGGCCTCTATCTGTTAGATCCTTTAGTTTCTCTTCCCAGGTAGGTGGAGTTTCTTCTTCTTTACGTACCAGTCTCTTACCCTTTCTTTCCCACATAACTTTCTTATTACTTTCTTTCATCTTTTCCTGAAATGGGTGGTCAAGGGGGGTGAGATTTTGGGGAAAATCTCAGTAAGGTTCACAGCTGGAGCATTCTCCAACTATGACGCTTACTCCTGCAACAGTTTATAATAACAATACAAAATGGAACATTTAACATCATCATATAAAAATATCATGCCATCATCATCATCATCATATTCCTGCCGGCTTTTACGGACTTACGGAGATACCCAGAGTCCTCGTCAGGTTGCAACTGGAGTATCAGTGCACAGGCCAACATTTAATAGCATGGTTTTAAGTTTCAAAAATATCATAATCACATAATGTAAAGCACTATAAACATATTGCAGTCAGACCATAACTTATCATAGTTTCATAATGGTGGCATACATAGAGAGATTACTTCAACAACTGCAAACACTTACAGTGCTTGTCGTTCTTTACTTGTATACTTTCAACTTTTGATCTCTTTACTTGTCTGTTTGCTCCCTTGACTCCCTAACATCATCATATCATCTTTTAGTAACTTATATAACATTCAACATTTGTTTTTTATCCATGTATAGGTCTCGGCTTTGCAGGTTTAATTACCTAGAGGAGTTGTTTTGCTTACTTACCCACTTGTGTAGGTTTTAGGACATTATTAGGTCATCATAACACTTAATAGAATTATTAAAGATTTCATTCTAGGCATGTATAGGTTCGACCACCATAGATAAACATCTAGGAATATAATTTTTAAAACATGCTTTCAATTATATTATTAACTTAACATGGTTAGATCCTTTCAACATTAATCAAATAAAACCTCTTTTAGCTACATACCATTCGGCCTTATTGCCCTAAAATACCTAAGGGATTACTTCTAAAACATGCTTCTAACATTATTGATAATTTATCATATTTAAATCCTAGAGCATCATTCATAACATCATCTTATATATTCGGCCAACTAAGGTTATGATCATGCAAAATTGATTTAGAACCTAGGCTACTAAACATGCTAATCTAACATCATCATTTCATCATCTTTCATATCATTTAAGCATCTCTTCATGCTTATAATTATCATACATGGTTCGGCCTTCTAGGGATCATATACTTAGGATATCACTTTCATGCTTTTACATGTCATTCCTAACCAAGAAGGTTCATAGGCTTACCTTTGATGATGATCAGCGACTTAAGGAAACACTTCTTGACCTTTGACTACTTTGAATCTTCTTGAATGAACTTCCTTCCTCCTTGAACATACAAGGCCGCAAGCTTAAAGAGAGGAGAAGAGGGATTTTCTTGCTTAGAGATGAATGGTTCTTTGGTGGAATTGTTAGGAAGAAGGACTAAGATCCAGGCTTGTATTTGATCTTGGAACAATTAGGTATTTCTCACTAACACACTCACCATTTCGAAGCATTCATGGACTTCACAAAATGAACTAAACTCTTTGTTCTTTCCTTTGGTAGTGCCGCGGCTATAGAGGGAAAAAGGAGAGACTAAAGCTTGTTCAAATAGGCAACCTAGAAGCCTTGCCATTACTTGATTGCTGGTAGGTTTCGATCACATTAAATGAGAGTAAGGTGGTGATTTGTTGTCATAGGTTAGATTGCTTAATTTAGGGACAAGAACATGATGTCAATTTCCTTGATTAAGGAAATTTAGTGATTGCTTGATTTAAGGAATTGATGATGTGTGACTAATCGTCATTAAAAGTTGCTCCCTTGATTTAAGGGATTGATGAGGTGTGACTAATCGTCATAAAGGTTGCTTCCTTGATTTAAGAAACAGAATTATTTGATTGATTGACATATTGTCATCAATTTGCTTGATTTAGGGAAAGTGATTGACTACTAATCATCATAATCCTAACTTCCTTGTTTAAAGGAATTTGACTGGCTTGACTTAAGGAAATTCGATTTGCATTTAATGGCTTGAAAATCAAATAAAATCAAATTCATTTCCTACACCTAGGCCGCGGATTTTAAATGCTTGGAAGGAAAAGATTTCCTTTAATTTTGGACCATGATTTATTCCTTAAGATTATGGACCTTTAACCTATTAACCTGACCTAATTTGTGCCTATTTTTCCATGATTTTATGACACTTTAAATTGACTTCTTAGAGCTTGTTTTCTCTAGTAAAACCGTGGGCTTCTTGCTTGTAGGGAAAGAATTCTAATTTAATTCCTAGTCATATAGTACTTCTTTAGGTTTATTATGTCATGGCCTTCCTTTGGGCTTTAACTTGATTTGGGTTTCATTTACCTTATTGGACTTTACTTTATCATATAGAGCTTTCTTTGTATCACTTGGACTTGTCCACATTAAATGGAATTAAAACTTCCTTTGTTGGGTTATACTTTGATCCATGAATTCATTGGATCCCTAATGCTCATGTCTTTGGTCCATTGGACCCATACTTCTAATTTACTTAATCATAAACTATTTCATCTGAAATGTCTCGTTTATTAATTATCATAATTCTTCATTAATCATGATACAATATTTAGGGTTGTTATACTTTCCCTCCTTCATGCAAGGTGACTTGTAATTGTTAGCACCACAGGGACCATGCATCATGCAACTTGTGACAGCAACAAAGAGAGAAGGATGGGTTTCCTTGTTAGGAATTTCTGCTGAAATCAATCTATCAATATCAAGTCTACTATTAGGCTTGTTAGAAGGGTGCAAGAACATCAACAGATGAGAATGAGGGAGTCCACGTTTTTGAAATTCAATTGTACAAACATCTATTACAGTTCAATAAACGATCAAAGTATGGATTAGAAGACAATAATATAGTCATAGATAGAGCATTTTTGAGTTCCAATAAAGTTATAAAAATTATTTTTTCCATATACTTACATGCATTAACTCTGCCAAGAACATGTTCTTTTTTTTAAATCATGGAGCAATTGGTCCAATTTGAACTTGAAAACTCTGCAAAGAATATCAAGTCGATCTTCAGCGTTTAAGTTTATGGCCCTAAGAAACCATGTAATTTCTGGCCACTTAGGATTGCAGGTAATTGTTATAAAAAGATGAGGATATCCAGCCCAACAGCAGATTGCAAAAGCATCCTTACAATTTTCAGCCATATATCTAGGTCCGCTTGTGAATGAAGAAGGAATACTAATACGCTTTCCAGTTCTAACTGCTGCATCCTCACCTTTATCCCATGCATGTATTATATTTTTGTATAACTCTGCTCTGAGTTGATTTTGATTGTGGCGGATGAAATTAAGACGGTCATACTCAACCATAGTATAAGCATCATTCGGTGACAACTCAAAATTGTATTGCACTGATCCTCATGTTCATTGTCACATACATTGTCTACAGCATGACGAAATGGCTTCTGTTTGGAAATCGTGTCAATTGCAGAACATGCAAACTTATCCAATGAAGATTGTTTATACACAACATCATTTTCTGCAAGATTTCTAAAATCCCTGGAAGTTGCTTTAACGTTGCAAAGGTCCTCGATAGAATGCGACGCTACCTTCCCCAAAATATCCAGTTGCAAGTCGTCTGGAAGATCTGTGAGGGATTCATTTCTGTCTGTATCTAATCTTGCACGTTTTAGGGATAACGTTTCAGCCATTGATAGAAGTTACAGAAAATAATCAACAATGTTCTAACTTTAGTTCGAAAGAACCGTTACAAACGAACACAACTGAAAAACCAATTGTTCAACCCACTTTTTTATAATAGCACGAACCATCAACCGAAGAAGCAGAATGCAACGTTTGGGAAATGAAATGATTGAATTGAATGAAACAACGTGGCCGACCTATCCTCCATTTTTATTGGCATTTATTAGTTTGTTTAAAATTTGAAAAGTCCAACACACTCATTCGAAATTCAAGGGAGCAGTAAAAATAACTTCACACAAAACGTTAGCATTAATAATAATCAAATTAATTGTTATCAATTGGTATAATAGGGAATTTCAAATGACATCTCTAAAATAAAACACATAGTACAAAAGAAATTCAAACATTTGGCAATTTGAAGAACTAAAGTTGATAACAAAATATTAAAAGAAAAAAAAATTCAAACTTTGGCAAAATGAAGCAGTGAAGATGATATCAAAATATATTAAAAGAAAAAAAAATTCAAACTTTGGCCCAGACTCAGAAGTGAAGATGATATCAAAATATTAAAAAAAAATATAAAGGCCTTGGTACACTGTCAACGTTCAACACACCCTCAATTCTAATAGAATAAGGAAAATGTCAATAGCTCGAGTTACAAAAAGATCGACCAAAGCATAGTTCCAATTTGATGATAGCAAATTTTGACCAGTTACAGATTTCCTTTCTGCTCCAAGGTGTCACTGGCTTCAGCATCAAAACTGTGCCAAAATAAACAAAAAGGCACACAGAGTGAGAGGCATGAAATTATAAATCCCTAAACTTTGCATGTCCAACACCTCAACGAAATACAGTTCAATTGTCATATCAATAGACAAAACTTAACTCTTTCTCCAGCTTTATTTTTTTAAGAGGACGGTCCACTGAACAATTATTTTTATCTTCAACAACATTACCATACTTAACAGACGGTGTCAACAACGTCAAGGAAATATCAGCATCATCAGTACTCTCACTGGTTTGGCTCTGAACATCCTGTCAACAAAATGACTCTAATCGCTATTAGTATACTGATACGGCAATCAAATTTTCCAATTACGTCAATAATACCAACTCACCACAGCTTTTCCTGACCCTACCGACATAATATTATCATCACAAGCACTGTCAAATACAGAATCATCCTGAAATATTTTTTCCATAAATGAAAAAAGTCATAACGCATGAAAAATATAGGTTATGAATAATAATAAAACAAACAAACAAACATTTGGGTCCATCGTGGTTTTCAGAAATGATGTGATAATACTTTCACTAATGCAAACTTTGGCCACATGATATTTTGGCTCATTGTATGAGCTCAAATTGCTCATTTTCACATTCACTTTAAACAACATAGATCTATCTTTCAGAACGTTCAACTCATCCGGATAATGCTCCAAATCTGCACCCTACAAAAAAGGAAACACAACAAAAGAAGTACTAAGAAATTTGCTGGTATTAAAAGTTTTGAGAACCCTACTATTAAAAACATTCAAAGTTTTGAGAACCATAACCGCTTAAAATGTTGCTCGCGCAATTCAGCAACACTCACTCCTAATAAAGAAAGACAGTCTCTGTCAAACAATACGAAAGAAGCAGAATTGGTGTTACCAACAACTCTGACTTGAACACTGAATCTAAAAAGATAAAAAAAATTGTAATTTAAATCAGTCATACAGCCTGCATGATTAATTTTTCGATAACAATGGCAAATCAAAAAATGCCTTACTTCGGATAATATTCATCCCAATGTTTTTGACAGTTCTTACAATACCATTTCTCAAAATCTTCGCACACTAAATACAGACATTTCTTACAGGACCTGTACCACCAGTTGTACTTACTTTCGATGGATTTAATAGTTCCATAAGTAATGCAAGTAGTAGCATCCATGCAATTCTTAATATCAGTAAGAAATTTCCTCTTTGTATCCTTTAGAAAATCATTTTCATAAGAATATGAAGATGGGCTAGACAACTGAGTCAACATCTGACTACTTTCGATCAGATCACCGGAAAGTCTAGAATATAAAAACATATCAAAGAATGAGTGCATACAGCAAAAGCAATGCCTCATAATTTCTCACTGCAGCCCACCTTTTTTGTACTCTACGATCTCAGGTATATTGGAATCAAAAAGGATTTTCGTCGTATACTTTGTATTAGCTATTCCAATCTTTCCTGCAAATAAAATGATAAACGCAATACTAAAAAAAAAATACCCCTAAAACCTTTTATCCTTGCAAGCTGAAGAATTATAACATTCTGAGCACTTTGATTCTTGGCTAAGAAAGTCTGGACCTCATCTATGTACGACTCCCACAAAGTGCATTCAAGTTTCTGACCCCTATCATGTTAGAGAAGCAAAAGACGTATAATAAATAATGTAAAATTCCACTCTCTTTAAATTGAAAAACACGCAAGAAATTACAAAAAAGCTATCAGAAATATAGATAACATAAATACCTCAGGTTGTCAAGCTCCACAACAACCATTTTTGTATTTCTACCAGAGATGACATGTTCACGTACTTCCCCAATTCCAGATAGCAAACCAATGACGTCTACACAACAAATAACATGGATTTCAGCCTTACGTCCTATATACAACATCTTAATTGAAAACGAATAACACAATACACCAAGACCATCACCTATTAAATAAAAGGAGTCAGACGATTCTTTCTCAATAACGTCAAACTCTGCAAAATCAAAACCACGCACAGGAATCATAGCATCAACAATGCATTTCATATCCGTCCTAAAGTTGAAAGACAGACGATATTCATGCCGTGTTGGCCTGAAATTACCAGTATCCAACCCAACTCCAAATTTTTTTATAAAATAAGCATCCCCCTCATGAATTTTCTTCCGAACCTGCAAAGAACCCTTGGCCGTAGCATGGATCCTTCCACCCTATAAAATGAAAACACGCAATATATCAAAAAAAAAACCTCGACAATGAGCTGCGGAAAAGAAAAAAATACATTACCCGTTCGTCTACCAAAACCATATCCACATTATCATCAAAATCTTTTGGATTAAAACTGAGAACCTTCCAACACCTAACTACACGCACTTTAATCCTCCAGTCTTCTTTCGTCGGATTAAGATCATTTACGAAGTCGTATTTCGAGCACATTATGTTGAACGATAAAATCAAAGGAGGAGGAGAGAAACGGACCAAAGAAGATACAAAATGCTCGTGGCAGTGATGCAGACCAAAAGGCAATTTGCAACACCAAATTTTGTTTTTATACATGCAATGAATACATGAGATTCCAAAAGGTGGCTATCTGCAGAGCTTTGACGTGTCTTCATACTTTCATAATAAGGGCTTAAGTGGGTCTCCACTTCCAAGCTGCAAGAGACATAAGTTCTAGTTAATTTATAATGTGAAATGGTTCGATATAAATCATGTGTTCTTAATAGTTCGCATGTGGTTTTGTTGGTCCACATGCGATACTTGTTGGAAATAAACAAAATTTACTTTAAAGAAATTTTGTTTTCTACATTAATGGTGTTGAGAACCATGACAAAAGCCCAAAAGAAAAAGAAAAAAAAGAGATAGAGAGATAATGAGTGGTGGAAAAAGGAGTTAGTAAATGTGTAATAATTTGCATCACAAGCCAATTGATATGAGACTTTTATAAAACAAGATTATCCAACTATTAACTAACCAATTGGCAAGTCATCAAATTTATCATCATCTAACTAAATCAACAAGTGAATTAAATTACTTTACTAATGAAGTGCCTATGGATAATTAACTTTTTTCACCCCATTTTTAATGATACTGGGCCATATCAATTTTTTTGAATTCATTCAAGGATTCCTGAATTTTAATTTTTTTAATTTTTTTAATCTTGAACATTGCTATAGAGAGCATGAAGCTCCCTAGTCTATATAGTCTGGCCGATTTGAGACTAGATAAACATTTGTTGTGGCTGGAATGCTCTTCTGCGCTATTATTTGAACAAGTTTTGTGATGGAATAATGAAAGTGTGTCGACATTGTCTCATTGGAAATATTTAATATACTCCCATCATATTTACATCCAACCAATAAAAATATGATACTTATGCTGATATGTTTTCTGACTTTGGGGTTGTGAGGTGTGGGAGCCATCTCCATGCCATTTGAAGCTTCAAGGTGCCATTTTGGTTGAGAAAGGACCAAGCTTTGGTCACCATTTCGTGGCTTGTGGAATCTGACTTCTTGGGACAGATTTGAGAGCTCCATGAGCATCCTTTTCTGCTGAGTTTGAACCTCCATAGGTATACCTTGATCATTACTCTTGAAATCCATGATTTTAGCTTGTTTTAGTCACTAAATCAGAGAAATTTAATGATTCATGTTAAAAGTGGTTAATCCATGTATAATAAGTATTGTTGAACCACTGTTTTGTGCCAAAACCGAACCTTGGATCAATGGGAGCCATTCCCACTTCGAATTATGCAGAAAAATATGCATTTTCGCGTTTCTGCATAGGTGGTAATCGATTACCTTTGAGTGGTAATCGATTACCATGAAGGGTAATCGATTACCCCCTGTATGGTAATCGATTACCTAGTGCAAATGTGACAGCAACGACCTAATTTAGTAAAATTGCGATATCTCGAGCTACAGAGCTCCAAATTGAGTGAGGTTTGGACCTATGTGAAGCTAATACATAGGCTACAACTCTGTAATATTTTGTGGCCATTGGATTAGTGGTCTAATCGCAGTGCCAATTTTAAGTTTCATTTTGGTTGCTGAAAATTCCGTTTTGCAGCAATCACCTTGCGTAAAATATAATCAGAGTTATACAAATCCGATTGAGACATAAAGTATATCGTTGGAAACCTTATGATGTCTAGTTTAACATATTAAAATTTAAGAATATTTTGTAAAGAGATGAAATTGCAGTCTTGAAAATGGTAAAGACAGTTTAGTGTTTGTGGCTTCGGAAAGAGCCCGCTGTAAGCAAAACAAAAAAGAAATAATGTTCGTATTAAATCTAAAAAACTATGATATGTTTATTGACAGTATGAATGTTATGAAAACAGATCTGTGAACTTGTTGGACACTGTTATTACTTGTGACCCTTTGGACACCAGGTCGTGAGGGAGGGTTCAGCGTGACAGGTAAGCTTTCGTGTCCTCGGATTGATCTGTTGCTTGTTCCACCGACCTCCATGGGAGGGTGGTTTATATGCATGTCTGCTTTTATGAAAATGATATATGCATTGATATACGCCTGAGACATGTTGATATAGTTGTTGATGTAATGTATAAATGTCATGTTAGTACTTGTACGATTAGGCAGCCACCCTGGTGTGCAAGGCATATGTAATGTATGAATGTGATGTTAGTACTTGTACGATCAGGCAGCCACCCTGGTGTGCAAGGCATGAGGCAGCCTCACTAATATTGGTAGGTAACAGACGTGTATAAACTCTATCTTGTTCCCTGGCCAGTCGAACCGCACTTGCATACATCATATGATTAATAAGTTGTAGTATTTGACTAGTTGCGCAAGAGATTATACTGTCATGATTTAAATGCTTTAACATGAACATGCATTGAAAATACTGTTAGTATTTGGGTGTCCTAGAGACAATCTTATGATTAAATAAGGACAGAGATGTAGACCTTTTTAATATTGTCGCAAATAAATAAAAGCACTCTTTATCTTGTTTCATAATTATGTCTCGATATTGATATTAATATATTATGAATAACTTGATAAACCCCGTGGAATAAAATAGGTATCTCTTGAGTATCTGTGATGAGATCACAATCATGAGGATTCAAGAATACCAGATGTTTATTCCTAATTTTATGTTCCTAGTCTAGAGATACTGAGAATGGGGTCAGTAATCTCGGGTAAGACTAGCACGACTTATCTATTTGTATATGGATACAAGGTATAGACCTCATGTGCTACAGATATGGAGATGTCTTAGCTAAAGTCGTGGGTGGACCTATAAGGGTATAGCTCGCACTGAACGGACCCACAAAGAGACTCTATAAGGAACTCTCACAGAGAGTATCATTAGAGTAGTCTCTTTATATTTGGGTATGTCTTTCCTAAGACCAGAAGTTATTACCTAGACTGTGTTCTAGAAGGCATGCTTTGATTGTGCACCTCGTCTGCCTGAAACATGGAGACTCATAGGTATACTGTTGGGCTTGTCCAGAAAGAACACAGGGCTAGGGTGATAAGCTGAAGGAATTCGTCAAATCTCTGTGAGAGATTAGGTTATCTGTAAACCGGAGAAATCAGGATGACATTTACAGGGATTCGGGAATCTATACATAGTAAAAGAGATCATGAGATGATCTGCCTTTAGAGTCTGTAAATTGAAGATTCCCTATTTCGAATAAAGCTAACCCTAAACCGCAAGGGTTGATGCGTTTCCTTACCCTAGGTTTTATGGGAAGGTAACCGAGATGAAGGGACAAACATACGGCAACCAAATATGTTTAATAGGATGATCAAAGCATTAATCTAACTAGTTCTGGGGCAACAAAGCATTGTTAGTGCTCTGTGTTGTCATTAGATGGGTTGTGGGCTTATTGGGCCCAAGCCCATTTATGTCAGTGGCTAAGTTGGATCTAATGGGTCACACACAAACACCTAATTGTCTAGATGCTCTAGCATTAAAGATATTGGGCCTAATAATAGTTATTAGCCCAAGAAGTTGTTTGGAACTCCACCTAAAAGGGTGGAGGGCGCATGGATCATTGTAATGGGCTTGGATAATCCAAGACATTACTAATTAATTTAATTAGTTAAATTAATTATCAAACATTTAAATTTGGAATTCGAAATTTGAAATTTGAAATTTTGAATTTGAATTTCGAAATTCGAATTTTGAATTTGAAATTTGAAATTTGAAATTTGAATTTTGAATTCGAATTTTGAAATTTGAATTTTGAAATTTGAAATTTGAACTTTGAATTTGAATTTTGAATTTGAATGTTTGAACATTTGAATTTGAATATTTGAATGTTTGAATTCAAATATTTGAATTCGAATTTGAATTGCCTATGAAAGGTTGTTTCATAACAAAAGGATAAAATGAGATCTTGTTGGAACAAATCACTAGTATCATGAGAGAATCTTTTGGACATAATCCTAGGCTATATATGGCGCTGATTTGGGCTGTTGGTGAGCAAGATTTGCTCATCAAAATCAGCTCCAGAATATTCAGTCAGTTGGGAGAAAATCTGAGTGAGTTGATTCAAATTTGAATGCAACTACTCAGATGTATCTGGTCACCTTTTTGGGCTATATGGGGCGCACCATATAGCTGATCTTATGAAGATTTATGATCAGAATTTTGAATAGGTTTTGAACCAATTCTCAAGAGAATATTCCAGGAGCCTGTTAGCAATTTTTGAAATTAAACAGCTCCACTTCTCTCTCTCCAATCTGGCGCCTAATGATCAGATTTTTGGGAGAAAAATCTGATTGGTATTTTATTTTAAATACTCTCCTCTTATGCGCCTAAGTGATTAGTTGTTCCTCCAAGGGTTTATCTGAAAAGCCTAGTTTATTCTCTCCTTTCTCCTGCGCCACTTGTGAAGCTTTCACATTGAGAGCTTCACTCTTTCAAACACTTTCACCTAGCCTCCATCTTCAAACATAGAGCGCCTAGCAAGCCTCTTTGTGGTGATCATCCGGTGGCTTCACAAGAAGGAGTTCTTGCACCTAGACGAGTGGGTGGTGTGGATCAACATTAGAGGGTCTGAACCCTTCAAACCTGCCTTGATCATCTGGTGATTTCACGAACAAGGTAACATCATGCTTTCCTAAAGCATGATCTTGATGTGCATGTATATTCCGCAAAGAAAAATTTTGTTTTTCCCTCTTGCATGCATAGGCCTTCAAGGCCATTTCGAACTTTCAAATACTGTTTTTGAACTTATATTATACTTGTAAGTGAGCTTGGGGCGGAAGAGTCCTTGAGGACCCCTTGTCTTACTGAGTTTTCTTTTTAGAGATCTCGTCCCACATTTGGGGCCCATTTTCAAGTTCAGGTACCTCGGGGGTTGAGACCTCGGGCGGCAGGAGGCCGGAGCTTAGTTGACTGTTTATTGTCTGTTTATGCTGATCTGCTTGGATGCTGATTTGTGTTTTATTGTCATGCTATTA